TTTAATCAACAGACGTATCTCACTTCCCCATCTTAATTATGCAGAAAAATCAATTTACTGTGGCGAATGTACCGCGTTTTCACAGACCCATTAACAGCATTCTATTTTTCAACATTTCTTCATAGATGCCTTACATTAGGGCATTAGTCCCGTCCGAGCGCAATTAAATAGTTCTGAAGCGGCAGGTACATTTTACAACAATATTTCACCCGAGTCCAATTCTGCTAAACTGGAATTTTTAATTATTTGCAGGCAACTACTTGTACTATTCTGCGACGTTAATTATACCGTCCACGTTACCAATTCGCTACAACACTGTGGGCATATGGGGTGCATCCAATTAAAGCGTGCGATGTGGTTAAAAATTTTGCTAACTCTATTTGGACTATCAAAGGTGCTTATTGATTTGAATTTACAAATTCATGCGTAAATAATTACACTCTTGCTTATATTGACATAAAATGACAACAACGATAATAGTTTTGGGCGTAAATCTTCCATTCATCAAAATTGGGCAATTACAATAGCGGCGAAATTCTTCACTTAAATACATTATTGTCGAATAAATATTCCAGAATATAACAGGCTAACGGCTACGAAAAAAAACAACAACATTTTAAAAGGTCAATATTTAAACATTGCTTATCTGATAAGCTCTTTCAGCTATGGAAGCTTCGTCGTGCAGGATCGGCGTGATAATTACTCTACCGTAGGGTAATATTGAGGGAAATGCTCCTGAGCATAAGATAAAACTTCGAGTCCTGCTTCTAAAATGAAATGAACGTCAAAATTTAACCCATTATCAACACACTGCCATATTCTCTTGTTTACACGCACTTGAATATCGTCAAGCAAATGAGCGAAGAAATCATCGTATATGGACGATGTACGGTTCAGATCCTGGAAATGGGGCACAGCGATGTCATGAGTCAGTTTCTCGATTTTTGTCAGGTATTTATTGTGATATCTTTTCAATAACTGTTTGCGCCTTACCGGATCCGTGGGTATTACAACACTCAGCCTTTCTTCCAGAAACCCGTGAATTGCTTGTCCAAACCCAAAGCTGAGGTCACAGGCTAAGTTACATTCGGCAATGGAAGACTGATTGGAATTTTTTGAATCTACAGAATCTTGCCCAGACTGGCTTTGATCAGCATTGCTTTCGCTGGGATTTTCTTCTTGTGAGGTTTGAGTCTCATTTTCATTCTGAACTTTCGAGTCTTCTACTAAACTAAATTTCCTAAATGTTCTGTAAGAAGGAGAAATAGCCTCGACGCCACTAGAGTCGACTTCCGAATTATAATTCGTGCTACTCTTATTCATGCAGCCAGTCGCGGACGCAATTCCAAGCCGATCTCTGTCACTTAGATTTGAAGCTCCCAAATTTGTCGACACTTTGCATTGAGCCTTATGGTTTAAATTTGCTATAGGAGTCGAAGTTGCCTTGGGGTATTTAACATCGGCGGGACTTGCATCGCCCGAAGTTGAGGGAAGCTCAGGCATGGTACCTGATGCTTGAGAATCTGTCATTTCCAAATCTTTCGTAAATGCATTTTGATTTTCGCAGAGTCTTCGTTTTGCCAAGTCATGTATCGGAGAAGATTCGGCCAAATGAGGACAAAATCCATTGAAATTTACGACAGGCGATTGTGGGCTGGAAGCAAGACAGTCATCACACTGTTTGGTTGAAAGTTCGAAGGATGATGAAAGAGGCAATTGAGCTGTAGAAGGGTGCTCATCATCATTGTTGTTGCTCTGGCATCCACTACCGTGTTTAGATTCTTCTTCCACATGTTGCTGAATGTCAGCAGATGGGGATACATCCTTACTAACCAACAGCTCACCCGGAGTATTGTCGAGGTCAGGTACTAGTATTTCTTTGTCTATGTCATCGACAGCGGAGACGTTTCTTGATGTCGAAGGCTCAGCATCAAATACCGACTCGACACTTGACGATGAAGTGTCTGCATCACGGATGTGCATGCCAGAGGTTAGTTGGTCGGGCGTTGGGCAGTCGGGAGCTGAGCTGACCAAAGAGTCGTGGGAGTCGTCGAGGTCAACGCTACTAACTCGATCGTCGCTACTGACTCTTTCACTGCTAGATGCTTGTCGGCAACAAATATTCCCAGAGATAGTCATGGTTGATCAACAGGTGTAATTTGATTAAGATGAAAGTATCACAGGCTAACGAAAAACAACAGAATAGAGACTGTTAAAAGTATTCACATTTTTCGTCTGAGTTACAAATAGGCATTTAGAAGGTAGTACATAAATATACTGATATTGAAATAAAATAAGTATTATATGTAATACATGCATCTACAGCGTAAGTAACATAGCAAATAAATGGACACCATTTAGAAAATTTTTCATCATCCTGCATTCATTTCGTGAATAGTGACTAGGAATCGCATAAAAAGACATGATCACAGAGGCTGATAAAGCCGTTATGACATCGCATAAGAAATGGTGCGTGCTATTTAATAATCCTGAAGGAATTTGGCACTAAATACACGCAACCGGTTAAGATTCGCAAGCATCCCGTTCAGGTCATTTGTTTATACTAAATGAAAACGTAAAAATCCATACTCTACGTATGAGTTTTACAGCGCGACTTCGACGAGAATTTCACTTTGAGAAAGAAACGAATTGAATTAATGCGTACATTATTTAAATAATAATAAAGTCCTTTTGGTGAGCGCTTTCAACGCCTAACCTTTTTCACTGGTCTCGAGCATATATCCAAGGCCACTTATCTATAGCCTAACTGCAAGGGCGATTTGTTGATGTCGTGACACGCGCGGAAAGTTGACAATTAAAACATATTATCCATCTTCGCCGTCTGGAAGACAGATAGTCGTTAAGCGTTCGAGATGAATCAATCGCCGAAACGGGAAAAATTATCCCCTGTTCAAGAGATTAGTTTATGATGAAGCTTGTCTCACAAGACGAAGGATTGTGCGTTGCGAAGGCGCTGGTAGTGTATTGGGACACCGTTGAAAAGATTGACCTTGGTTAGGTTAGGTGTCATATCCTACTTTTCTTGGTGATAAGGTACGTCTCCTCTATACCCCTTATTCTTTTTAGGAACTAGATGCCATGGCAAGTCCCATGCCTAATTATATTAAATAATTATAATAAAACCAAATTCAATCAAATTGCCTCTAATTTCTACCCCGACTGGCACCTTTTCTTACCATGACGGTGTTTTTAATATGCGGTTTCGATAGTTAAACCGCATCCTATGGTTACACTCTAAGCCCATGGTTACAATTCATTAAAAAATATAACGTGTGTGAAAGTCGTTTAAATTTGCTTTGGAAATAGTTGAAAAGCAACATATCAACAACACCATATATAAAAACCTTAAACGAAGTCCAAAATGATCAGCCATGAGTTGAACGTGTCTATTTGAAGAATAACTCAACAAACAGCGCCCCGTTACTCTGCACGCGTCATCAAGCGGACACATAATTTTAATCCGGTGAAATGACACTATTTGCTCGTATTAAAATTAATTATTAACATATTTATTTATTTTGTTTGTATTTATCTCTTTTCCTAGTAAATATTTTGTATGTAATTTTTTTCCTTCCACTGTAACTGTGGACAGACATTATGTTCGCATTTTCCTGTGTAGAGATTTTGAAGAATTTAGTTCCTGGTGCGCGGCGCGATGTGAGGCTGGTACTGTCTCTGTTTTCTTCTCCAACTTGCTGTCTCTGATTATCAATGATATTATATTAAAGACTCGCACTTAGTTTGAACCCATTCGAAAATATTTCACAATTTTTTGTGTATTTTATCAAGTACCTGTTGTTGCTACAAAAGAAAATTCAACTGTGATGAAACCCAAATTTAAAATAATTTACAAGTTATCAGTTCTGTGGTTAAAAGTATGCACCATCTAAAGAAATGTAATGTTAATTATACGGGCTTTAATCCGTTGTATTATGATTCGCAAACTCAGCCGCGTGACGAAAAATAAACAGATACTTCTTACTTCTTAGATTATTAATTCATTCTGTAGTAGACCGATTCGACACTTCAGCGAACTCGCCTGCGAACTCGCCTGCGAGCTCGAATGCAAAACCTAACTTCATTTTCAACTGTGGCACTCATAACTCCTTCAATTATGAACGGATTTTATTCAAATTTGGAATATAAGTAGATAATATCAGTATTTTGCGGGGGGAATTTTTTCAGATTTTTACATCAATAACTTTTTTTGTTAATACGAAAATACTGATATTATCTACTTATATTTCAAATTTGAATGAAATCCGTTCATAATTGAAGGAGTTATGAGTGCCACAGTTGAAAATGAAGTTAGGTTTTCCGTATTAACAAAAAAGTTATTGATGTAAAAATCTGAAAAAAATTCCCGCCGCAAAATACTGATATTATCTACTTATATTTGAAATTTGAATAAAATCCGTTCATAATTGAAGGAGTTATGAGTGTGGCAGGGTGGCCCAGTGGTTAAAGTTCAGAGTCCCAAGATTGGAGCAGAGAGGCGTGGGTTCGATCCCAGCTCTGTGCGCCAGTTTCTGGTCAGAATCGGCAAGGAGGCCGGGCGGTTAAGCACAGCAGAATTGTAGCAGTGAGTTGCAAGTGCGAGACCGCAAAATGCTGTGAATGTTCTGCGATGTTAAGAATCGGCGACAGGCCTACGGCCTAATAAAGCTGAAACCGCTATTATTATTATTATTATTATTATTATTATTATATGAGTGCCACAGTTGAAAATGAAGTTAGGTTTTGCATTCGAGCTCGCAGGCGAGTTCGCTGAAGTGTCGAATCGGTGTCTGTAGTTGCCAATATCTAAAACTTATTAAAGTCATAAGGAAATTCCGAAGATCTATTCTTCCTTTTGAAGTGTATATTGTCGATAAACTAAAAACGATTTTTCACTTATCCCAGTTATTAATTGCTTCTCTCCGCAATCGAACTTTGCGATTGTTTGTTATGCCTTCAGTCATCAGTCCGTGAATGGACGTAGCTCGCAACTCGCTAGAGTGCAAGACCTACCGCCAGGCGCCAGTCCGCCACCAGTGTAGATTCAGATTCGTCGAAGGGAGGATGTGTGGTCAGTCATAGAAATTACTCTTGACTGTGCTGCGGCCGAGAATGCTCTGCCAAGATTAACTTTCTTAGGTGGCACATAGAGGATGGTCCGTTTTAATTTGAGGTAAGATTTCACTAAATATTTACATCTGGATGAGTTACAGCGAAAGATACTTCTGAAGTTTGTGTAAAACCAAACTACTTTACGTCCTGTAGTACCAACAACTTCACGCTACAAGGTAACAAGGGTACAGACCGTTCAGTGCATTGTTGATGTTCTCAGTATGTAACTTGACTGAATGATCAATTAATTGCAATGAGGTCCTACAATCTTATTTCTTTTATTGAAACTATTTATCATTGTGCATGTCACTTATGTGTTTAACGAAATGTACATTTTCATTCATGCAATTCTATTTTTTGAAATTATTTGTAAAGTAAATAAAGTTACCTACTGTTTTTAAGCATCTGTATCTCCTCTGATATTTTGCTTGGAACATTTTTGATTTAGAGATTTTGTCAGAATTTGAATGTGAATGTGACCTGAGGCTTGACCAATGACCACTTGGTAATTATCTACATGGGCAAATTAGAGCTTGTTTGTGACTGATGCCTTGTATTTAAATTTGCACTTTTTATTTTCCACTTTGTGGAAAGGTCTTTCAAGTTTCATCTTGATCACTCTTTTTTATTATTGCTTTGAAGCTGTTAGAAAGTAATCAGCTGCTGTGCGTGATAGTGGTTTAGTTTCTGCAGCTGTATATATTCCTACACTACACTAATTGAGACCAACTATCTGACAGAATTTTTTTCCCCTGTGAGACTAATTGCTTAGATTTAGTTGCATGTTCCCATGTTTTTCTAGAAGTATATTAAAAATTTTAGCTTCTCTCCTTAAATTGTTTGAAACATAGTTACTACTGAAGTCTGAAGGTTAATATTGTTGGACTTCATGACAAAATCTTCTCTTCATTGCTTAATTTTATTTCCTGGCTAAATTTCCTGTTTGTCCATTTATATCAAAGCTATTGCAAATTTTAATGTCATCCATTGTTCATTTTCTAAAGCATATACGCATGTATAAAATATTTATTGATCATTCTTTTCCTGCTGTTGATAAAAATTTGGCTACAGTCTGATGCTTCAATTCATTTAACTTTACAACTGAGCTACAAAGATGAAGTTTGCTTATTATGGCAATAATGGCATTGACACAAAAATGATTCCATTACAGTTAGCAAAATCAGATTTGCTATTTAGCACCTTGCAGGCTTGCATCATCATATTTATATAGGTAGGTATGTCTTGACTATCTTTTTCTGTTTTCAAATTAAGGTTTCCTGACATTAAATTATTTTGTTTTTAATTTATTGGTTACCAAAATTTTTCTCTTCTAAATGTTCTGTAGGGACCGGTATATATAATAAATGTGCAGAAATTAACAATCACAAATTTTTCTCATTGCACTATACTTGTGTCCATTGTTCATTCAACACTAGAATCTTTGTCATTATCATCTTAGCAACTGGATAATTTCCATTGTTATCCCTAGCAACATAATAATTTCCACTGTTATCTAACAAAAGGATCATTTCAACTACGGTATTATCCCTAGCAGGAAAATCATTTCCATTCACCTTCCCAGTACCATCAAGTGGGGTGATTTTGGCCACCAGGGGTAAATTTGGCCACCACTACAACAGAAACAAATGGCAGCAAAACCAAATAATAAATATTGGCTAAAGTTACCCCAGTCACTTTGGGCAATGTTTATTATTTTATTTTGCTGCCCTTTGTTTCTGTTGTAGTGGTGGCCAAATTCAGCCTCTGATGGCCGAAATCACCCCACTTGATGGCAAGAGGATTATTTCCACTGTTATACCTAGCAGCAGAATTCTTTCCATTCATCTCCCAAGTACCAGGATTATTTCCACTGTTATCCACAGCACCAGAATAATCTCCATTGTTCTACTCTATTATTTTGGCTACTCTTTAATCCCTAATTCCATTAGTGTTATCTCAGTACCGTATGTATATTTCAAGCTAGTTACTGTCTGCTAAATAATTGTATCATTGCTTAGTTTCTCAGTTTCTCTTCATTTTATATTCATCTAACAATTCTGAGATGCATTGTCCAGTTATGCTGATGAATCATGAAGTCCTCATTACAATTAAATACTAATTTTTTTAGACTCCTTTCTGTAGGCTGGAAATTAAGTGCATGCCAAGATGTTAAATGAAGGCTTCCTTTTATAAAAAGTTCTCATATTTAAATAAAATTGCATTGCTTGCAGTTCAAAAGTGCATATTTATTGGGTAGGTACAAAGTATGTTCTGCCTTATCATAGTTTTCATTCAATAGCACTATGCACTTGGTTTCTTAATTATTTGGACCTCTGGCACATTGTCTGCACTTGGTTTTGTAAATATTTTGACCTCTGGCACATTGTTCTTCACTTATCTGTTATTTTAACAAATTTATAGTGCAACTCACCATTTTTCTCTGTGTAAATGATAATTTCTTTCATTTACCTATTTAATGCTTGAAACTCAATATTATTTCAGGTGGTTCCTCTGAATAACTCTCACTGCTTGTGCTCCTCGTCTGCTATTTCACTAACATGGTGTAAGTTCCTCCCCTTTGGACCAAAATAACGCACCCATATTTTCACTGCTACATGTTATTTTGTTTTATACTTCTGCAAAAATAGCCTAACTGACAAATTATTATAATTTACTGGAAAGGGAGTAATAATTTAATCCAATCAGCCCTCGTTGTGTGTCTTTATCTTTGATTTTGATATTGGAACCTCCAAGCACTAGGAAGAGAACAAAGAGTTTTGTGTGATGATTTATTTGAAATAAACTTGTTTGTGTAGATAACAGAGTGGTAAAATTGTGAGTTGTTTCAAGGAACCTTACCTGGTGAATTAAGTATATATACGACAACAAATGAAAGGACAAAATATGCTTATTTTGCAGTACATGTCTTTCTTTTGTAACATACTTCTTCTCAATTTTGGACCCAGACAAAGGAATGTTAAGGTTTAGAATTTTCTCATACTTCTAGTGGCAGCAAGTGGCCTTGATCTGGTTAATCCAACTGCAATGTCTGGAGAATTAATAGCTTAGTAAATATTGACATAACATGTTAGCTTGTTACCCATCTTCAAGTTGGACAATTTTCACCTGTGGCTTTGTTCTCTCTTCCTAAGTTTATTGTTCGATCCCACTCGTATTTCGGTTCCTACTCTATTTTACAACTTTTTATTAATCATACAATGAATAGGAACTAAGAAAGTTTTCATTGTGAATTCTTATTAATTATTAAAGCTTGTTGACTTAAGAGGTTGAAAAATTATTGGAAAATCAATAGCATCTGTTATTCAGCGTTTAATTCTAATCCGTCACGGCTACGGCATTCTATCAGCTTGCGAGATAACCATGCAATAAGATAAAAAAATTAACTACCAAATTTCACACTTTTATTACTTAATTCTTAGTCGTTTAATTTTAATATGTTAAAAATTTTATAAATGCAATTATCCTCATCTCAGTGATTAAAATTATAGATGCACGATAAACTATATTGAAAACATATTGGGATAATATTTTGCCCTCTGGTGCGATCTCTCAGTAACGTCTTTTAAAACACCGTATGTATATATCATAGTTGTTGTCTTGCCTAGCGCAAGTCGATGAGCTCGGTCACACGGCACGCTTCTCGGAGCGTATACGTGACGGAAGGTCGCCTCGCTTGCGCCGCTCTTTGTTGCTAATCTCTTGCTGTGATGTAATGCTCTCTGGCCGTGCTGTGTCTCTGCTCACTGGCCGTGCTGTGTCTCTGCTCTCTGGCCGTGCTGTGTCTCTGCTCTCTGGTCGTGCTGTGTCTCTGCTCACTGGTCGTGCTGTGTCTCTGCTCTCTGGCCGTGCTGTGTCTCTGCTCTCTGGCCGTGCTGTGTCTCTGCTCTCTGGCCGTGCTGTGTCTCTGCTCTCTGGTCGTGCTGTGTCTCTGCTCACTGGTCGTGCTGTGTCTCTGCTCTCTGGCCGTGCTGTGTCTCTGCTCACTGGTCGTGCTGTGTCTCTGCTCGCTAAGATCTCTCGCTCACCGGAAATGTTTTTTCCTGTCAGACATTTAGTGTGTGAAAGGCCTATACGGGTTGGCTGTTCTGCCTATTGTTCAGATTAAAATCGCTTGTTTTAAATCCGAATTTCATGAAATCTTGAGGTTTTATATCACGTATTATGAATAGGAATTTTACCAAATCTTGTTACCTCATAACGCGTAGTTTTGTAATTTATTGAATTTTTAATATAATGACTTGATTAATATGTCGGTTGAGTTATTTTTGTCAGAAAGGCAATACGGTTATAGTTTGATATTCCCGACTATATGCGGTTTGGAGGATATGCTTTATGAAAAAAAAAATCGATGTGCTGTTTATCATGAACGCAACGATACTCCCGTCGTACGGTTGCTAACCAACATTTTCTATTGAGTTGAACGTTCCAGAAATATTTTTTCGTCTCGCTAGCAAAAACTGACAAATGCACTAGAAGATTGGGGCGAATTGTCATAGGTTAACGCAGTTCTCGATGGCACAATCGTTCCCAAGTGCGGTGCGCATGTTTTGGAAAATCCTAATATTAAATTTTAAGTTTTTTCATCATAATCATATTGATGAAAAATTAATCGTTCTGTCTCTGAACATTACGATGTGTATGTTAGTCATGCGGAGCCAAAGCATGCATGCGTTGTAGCGAAGGCTACAGCGTGTTCACATTACCGAATTTTCGAAACTCGTGTAGCCAATGCCAGAACATGCTAGATTCACAATAACCTTTTCCGGTGCGGAAAGTACATACAATAGTCATGTAATTTAACATGGTGTGCGCCTTGTAATGGGTTTGAATCAAACCCTTAATCTCATTCAGAATAACCGGCAATAGCAGCAGAAGATTTAATTCGTGGTCTGTGCTCAGCTGCTGAACACATTATTCAAATTTGCGATTTTCAACATCCAAGGGCAAATTCTCGAAACACGTGTCCAAGTTTATCGTCAAATCTACTTGTACAGGTGTTTCCGCTTCGCAGGCCGCTAATTAATTTCATTTTATCGCAAATGCTACGATTCATAAAATTTTAGTTATAATTTCCTAAACGATAGCTTTACCTTCCAAGCTCGTTTTCCGGATGACTTTCACATCTCGCGAATGAAGTCATGGAACTTGTGTTATGATTTCATAACCGATTGCGGGCTTCCAAGCTCGTTTTTCTGGATGACTTTCACATCTCGCGAATGATACAAGTCATGGAATTTGAGTAATAACTTAACGATTACATAACACATTAAGCTCGTTTTTTCAAGTCCGCTCAGTCATTTTCGCTATTCTATGATTGATTTTTTAGGGTTTAAAGCAAGAAATTTTTAAACCTAACGTATTGATTTCGATAAATTCTTTGTGTGTGTGTTACCATTTGCAAAATCCGCAAACGAAGATTCAGTCTTTTTAATACGCGAACGTGTTGATTCTTATTTTTAATCATTGACCCGCAGATACACGCACAGTGAACAGTCGTCAATGCTACACGAATCTTAAGGCCTGCCGACTAAAGTTATCGGCATCGGACAAATCGTTAACCTTTTGCTTACGTATTTATTAAAATTCGCAATTGCTATTTGTATCTAAAGGCAAGTTGACAAAACTTAGGCTATGCAAAGAAAGTGTTCGCCTTACTTCCACGTACGTGCAACCATAAACTGCAGTCGTTGCTATTCTTATCTAACGTCCTAGTGACTATGAAATTCTCGTTAGTAGACAAACACAAAATGTTGAACTTTCAAACGAGTTATCTGAGCGAACTTTATGCGAACTTCGTCACTGAAATCTTCTGATACTAGAAGCTGGACTGAGCGAAAATTGTGCAAATCACGTCACTGAATTCTTCTGATACTGGAAGCTGGAGTACGCAACGAGAGCCTACGCAACGAGTTACGCAAGAGAGGAGTGGTTTCGATACGCGTCGTCTGTTGGTCGGCACTCACAGCGCTCTCAACTCCACACGCGCAACGACGGCGCACCGCTGACCTGCCTGCTCCACTGCACCAACACGTCAATAATTACCATTAGCTGAAATAAGTTTGGTCACTCCCGAAAAAGTCATGTCAAATATTATGAAACCAATTTTGATCTTTAATGATCTGAGCCCTGAGGAGTTAGCTATAGAAGTTTGTTGTATATTAATTTATTAATTTTCATCAAGCGTCTTTGAGGTAATAATATTGTTATGGGGGGTATTTACATTCCATTCTGAGCTTGTACACTTGACAAAAAAGCTTGTGCTACCGGTAGTGGCGGCCACCAAATCAGTACCGAAGTAATTTGTCAGAACTGCCGAGCCTATCTTCTGTTTCGAAAGTATACATTTTGACTTGAGAAAGGAAGAGTAAAAATCATCATGTGAATTCATAATGATTGACTTCAAATTACCCTGTGGGTGTGCTTAAAACATTCCATACATTTGTACGCACGCATTAATGAAACTCTCTTATTCATCACAGCCAGTTCTCCATAAAGACCAAGGTTTCTGTGATCGGTATAATCAGTTTGCTGGCCCTTGTATTCAGGGTCTCGGTTTATTCCATTCAACGGACGCCTAAATTATTTCCTCAAGGCATTGAACTGAACAACAGCAACTGTGCTCGAGGAAAGCTCGGCCTTAGCTCCATCGTTCCTCGAGGTTACGCCACTTTCACTTCTTTTTGTGACATTTTACTTGGAATACCCAACCTTCATTATAATTTATTCATTAATTCTATTAAAGTACAATTATTAAATTTTAAGAATACCCTATTTATTATTTTTTTTACTTTACGGCCCTTTATTTTCTGGCTTGCTTGACAAACCTGAACGATGAATATTAGTTCAATAGAGTGAATTTAATATATTGCACACGTTCAAGATATTTTTTACTGTCACTGATTTTTTCCTTGAAAGCTTAGGTCGTGTGAGGCTTGCCTCTTTTCATAGACATCGCAGAATTATTACAGCTACCTGCGAGTCTCGAACCAGAAAGTCTCCGCTCCGATATTTCTGTGCTTAACCACCCGACTTCCTGATGATCGAAAGAATTTATCAAATCCAGTCACACCACTAAAACAATTTGTTTTAAATACTACTTTTCATGCAATTATAAGGGAAACTATACGATAGTATCGCCATTGATCGCCATTTTGCTGATATTAGTACGGCAGTACTGATTAATACTGATACGGAAGCAGGCAGTGCTTCCGTGTATTATTCAAATGCGGAATGTACGTAAATTTCGGTAATTAGCCGCGTATTTTTCAGAAATGTTTATATTTTCAGTCCGAAGCTTAGTGGGGGATTATATGCGTGTATAACGATGGCAAAAAGATTGGTGATTAGCAGAGGCACGATAACTTAGCCTTCAGGACAAACCGAAAGATACGAGGGTTGGCAATTTTGAATGGACATTTCAAGTCAATATATGTTAACTTGACAATAGTTAATATTTGTGTAAATTTGCCAATACTCAATATTTGTGTTAATTCGTTCGCTCATATAATTTTTCTATCCGCTTATTTTCCTGACCTCGACAAAGTCTGCGGAAATTATCTTGCACGTGCTGGTAACGCAAATGAATGTAGTATGCATGAGTTGCATCGCAATTTTTCACGTTTATAACTAGGGCCTTCCTGGTGTTTTTTTTTTAGTTCTAGCAGTCGTTCTGGAATATTATCCTTCTGGAGCCTCAAGTATTGTCGTATACTTCTATGAGGTCGCCATTAAGACACCGATAATACATACCGGTACCTACTTTATATTACATAATCTATACTTATACTAGAATTTACTAGAATAGTCTATACTTTTACGTCTTGTCAGTTACGAACTTATCCCTGTTGTTCAATTTTGCAGAAAAAATATTCTGCATATTCTGGTCGTGAGCAAACAAATTGTAGGAGCTGCTAGCTCACGTGTTGTAAGCGCACGTGTCGTGAGCGCACATGTCGTCAGCGCACATGTCATGAGCGCACATGTCGTCAGCGCACATGTCATGAGCGCACATGTCGTGAGCACACCTGTCGTGAGCATACCTGTCGTGAGCACACATGTCACGACCGCACGTGTCGCGACCGCACATTTAGTGAGCACACATGTCGTGAGCACACATGTCGTGAGCGCACATGTCGTCAGCGCACATGTCATGAGCGCACATGTCGTGAACACACATGTCGTGAGCACACATTTCGTGAGCACACATTTCGTGAGCGCACATTTCGTGAGCGCACATGTCGTGAGCACACCTGTTGTGAGCACACATCGTGACCGCACATGTCGTGAGCACACATGTGAGCGCACGTGTCGTGAGCGCACATGTGAGCGCAGTTATTCTCCCCGCTCAGGTGGCGGGCGCTGAGCGCCGGCGTAGACGACCCCCGATGGCGGGAGCCAGCAGCCGCTGTGTTCTACGGCGTGACCTCCACCGCCCTGGCCTTCATCAACAAGGCGGTGCTGTCCTCCTACGACTTCAACCTGCCCTTCCTGATCATGACGCTGCAGGTGCGTGATGTCCTCCTACGACTTCAACCTGCCCTTCCTGATCATGACGCTGCAGGTGCGTGATGTCCTCCTACGACTTCAACCTGCCCTTCCTGATCATGACGCTGCAGGTGCGTGCTGTCCTCCTACGACTTCAACCTGCCCTTAGCTTCGCACCTGCAGTTTCTGTAACCTACTCTTGCTCATCCCGAGCCGTCGCAAGTGTCCGGCGATTTGTATGGGCCTAATCTCATCACCCTCAGGTGTTCGTTGATTCCAGCTCTACTATTTCACTTAAATTTGGCCTCGCATTCCAGTGCTTTCATGAAGTCATCAGAGCTGCCATACTCGCCATGCTGATTGGTATTTTGAATACCTAAGTTCTTAATTAGAGATGAAAGCGTTCACCATAGTCTTTGAAGAAGAACTATACAAATTTTGGAACTATAGCTTAGTCTTGGTCAGGCTACGCGTGGCAAAGAATGGCCGGAAATTGGAGAGGTGGAAGTCGAAATTTGTGGAACATTTGTCTGAAATGAATAATTTTTCGTTAAGAAGGCATGTTCTGTATACCTCTTTGGTCTATGCCTCTGCGACATTTGATCTGCGGCATATGAGTGTGCAGCCTATCATCCTATGTGACCTATATATATATGCCTTTGAGGCCCATGCATCATCAGCCTATGTCGCAGCCCATGCCTCTGTCTTTGTCATGTCTTCGCAATTTTTGCCTTTTAAATAAGAAATATTATGACTCCTATTTAAGGACATTATCCCGTATAACTTTGCATTAATACAAGATTTCGTTACTGACTTTTCATGACAATTAAATGGAGACGATTGCGTTGTGTTTATCATCTATAAGTGGACCATGAGTGCCTGATATTATGTGCTATTGTATTCATTGTACCACATACGTACGCATTATAACGTATATAGTCGTTCAGTCATTGCCCTACGTATAATTAACCCATACGTGCAAACATTAAAACTTTTATGCAAGTTTGATTGAAGACCAGAGCATGCTTCTTATTAATAATCTTCTTATTCGTCTTTTCAATGACTCGAACTAAGTTTCTAGCTGGCGCCGGTAGATCAAACAGTAGGTTACCAAAAGACATTTTAATAGAATGCAACGTTTCGAAAATACAATTTTCATTATCAAGCTGGAGAGCCAGCTAGAAACTTAGTTCGAGTCATTGAAAAGACGAATAAGAAGATTATTAATAAGAAGCATGCTCTGGTCTTCAATCAAACTTGCATAAAAGAAAAGCTTCTGCCGAATTATACCGATTTTCGTACATTAAAACTTGTAAAGTAATCCCCACGTATAATTGATCCATACGTGCACACATTATAACGTATATTGATCACTACGAGGTACGTGCACGCATTATTACATGTAAGAACATTCATTTACTACACTGCTCACCATTGTTTAGAAGGTGTTGTTACTACGGACACAGATGGTGCTGACAGTCAGCTCGCTGTGGGTGCTGACGCGCTGGGGGGTGGTCAGCCTGCCACCCTACACGCTGGCCGCGGGCTGGTCCTTCAAGTGGCCGTCGCTCTTCTGTGCCATGCATGGCGTCCTCTCACTCTACGCTCTTAGTGGTGAACCATTAACTCTTTAGGAACTCTTGTCTTTTTAGTAACTACTTGGACACTCAACCTCATTTGTGACTCCTTAGAAACTCTTAACTCATTATTGACTCCTTAGAAACTCTAATCTCATTAGTACCTCCTTAAAGACTTACCTCACTAGTTATTCCGTAGAAACTCCTAACTCATTATTAACTCCTAAGAAACTCATATCTCGATCATTACGCGCTTGTCCTAGGAACTCTTACTTAAGTAACTCCAGTGACGTGTGATAACAATAATTAAATTATAATCTAAGTGATCACTATGTTATAATTTTTAACGCTAGTCGGTAACTCATGTCAATTTGAAAAGTACGAGTATATTCCAAAAAAAAAAAATAACTAGGATCAGTCCCAAATTTTCAATCCCAAATAATACTGAACATTGTTACTCTAACATTAAATAAGACTTCTTTGTATCACCGCTTTCCAAAATGCGTCAATTGAATACAAGCTTATATTCAACTACCTACTCAAATGGCCAAATTGTCTGGTTCATATTCTAAAATTCCCAAGTTCGACGAACTTTGTTAGGCGCGTCAATTATCCGCTTTGTCGTAATTTATAAGTCTGAACCTATCTCTTCAATAGACTTCTCCCGTTATACGCATGAACTTCTTAACTGTAGAGGAAAACATAGAAGAGGAATTTTTTGCCTTATAAACACGAACTTAACTGTTTAGGTAAATTTTGCTCAGAAATATTTGGTGCAAGACAGGTTAATTTATAAATTTATTGTACAGGAAAACATGAGAGGTTCATGAATTGTAATGCACCGATAACCCAGTGTAGTGTACTGCGAAAAATATCCTAGTGTATGAACCTTAGCAAGGCATACGGTAAGCTAGCATAGGAATATTACTCTAGACAACTGGTCCAGTGAATCAATTTTGCTGCGCTAGAGAACTTGTCGACGAATTTTACGATGCAGAACTACCAAGTATATGAACTTAAATGTATGAGAATACTTGCTAATGAATTTTTTCTGTATGACAGCCTAGTATATTAATTCAACTTTACTGGAGAAACTAGTATATATATTTTAATAGCACCTGCTAAACGTAAATTTGACTCCAGTTTAACTAGTATATAAATTATTGTTTGTACATAAGATGGGCTACGTAGTGTATAAAGTTGACAGCTCGGTACGTGCTTGTCTTGACGTGCAGTAGTGCAGCTTGATTGACGTGCTTGTCTCAGTAAGCAAACTCCTAAAATCTTGGTTACCTAGCATTTTAGGTAATAATTATATGAATACAATTTTGGTGTATAAGGCAGGTTAATATATAAAAGTTCTGCATGGGAGAGTTCCAGCTGACTGATCAAACAAAGTAGGACACAAGTTCTTGAGCATCAAATAAGCTATTGAGATGCGCTGTTGCCTGCCCTGAGATGCGCATATGAGATAAGCTTGAGATGCGCTGTTGCCTGCTCTGTCAAAATAGGACGCAAATTCTAGAGCATCAGACAGGCTAGTGTCTAGAGCTGACTGTACTAGAGATCTCTAGTAACGCTGTTGCCTGCTCTGGCAAAGTAAGACACAAATTCTAGACAAGCTCGAATTGTCGGTCCAGCAAAGCAGAGCACAAAATCTAGAGCATTTCTACAGGCTAGTGTCTGGAGCTGACTATCTGAACCCCCTCAGGGGGGACTTCTGACGGGTGTCTGTGCTCGTCAGAAGTCCTATGGAATTTCGCGTTACTAGGGGGATTGTTCCTGAGCGCCCCACCGTTGAGCTCGCGGTGTCTGACTGCAGGTCTCAGTTGTGGGGTTAAGTTATTAAGTAGGTAGGATTCCTTACATTTCCCTTCTCTGTCTCACTCGTGCGGACTCTAGTGACGCTGCTGCCTGTGCAGGTCTGAACATCCCGATGTACGGCACTCTGATGTACTGTATATCTCTAGTGACGCAGTTGCCTGCGCAGGTCTGAACATCCCGATGTACGGCACACTGAAGCGCTGCACGCCCCTCGTCAACCTGCTGCTCTCCGTGGTCCTCCTGAAGAAGGGCGTCCCTTCCTGCCTTCTCACCTCCTCCATCCTCCTCATCACCGCCGGCTGCATCATAGCAGGTCTGCTCAGCTTCTCAACGACATGTTTGATGAACTAATTTTCAATGCTATTATTAAATAAATCATTGTATATTTTCCAGTAATAATTAACATTAACGAAGTCGTTTGAAACGTGGTAACAGTTAACGAAGTCGCTACGTTTCAAATGATAAGTATTAACAAATAAAATATTCTTGACTGTTTAAGATTTTAGGCACAATTGGTGTCAAGATTGATAAATTAATGTTCTTATCTGAACAAAATCCAGCCTTATTTATGAATCCGTTTTTTTTAATGTGTCCTAAGGAAGTTGTGTCGTCATGTTTCAATGAGGAAGGAGTCCCATTCTGAGACTGAAACTTGTGTGAAGGTGTCGCGGCCACGGCACAGTGCATACTTTAACGTTGTTATAACTTTACTTCATTTCATCAAGTTTTGATTGTGCGGCCACTGGATTTACGGCTAAATTCTCGTCGGAAAGTTAACTAAAAAATGTCATTAATGGATTCCTGTGTCAGCTGTGGGTGACCTAGCGTACGACGCGTACGCCTACACGCTGGGTATGATGAGTGTGCTGGCGCAGGGGCTGTACCAGAGCCTAGTGCAATACCACGCCGAGCAGCAGAAGATGTCGTCGTCACGCATCCTGCAGCTTAACTCGTACAACACGCTGTGGCCCATGGTCTTCTTCAGCGTGGTGGTCGGCGAGCCTCGCCAGGCACTCAACAGCCCGCACTGGAGAGGTGACACACTAACATTTTAAAAGTGAATTGTATACTTATTTTTACGTATTACAATAAAATGCTTCTTCAGCGTGGTGGTCGGCGAGCCTCGTCATTCACTCAACAGCCCTCAAGACTGACATTTTCAATGTGAATTGTATCTTTAATTTTACGCATTAAAATGAAATGCTTCTTACGCGTGGTCCGACAGGCGCTCAACAGCCCTCACTGGAGAGGTGATACACTGACATTTTCAATGCGAATTGTATACTACTTATTTTTACGAATTAAATTAAAATGCTTCTTCCGTGTGGTTGTCGACGTGCTCCGACGGGCGCTCAACAGCCCTCACTGGAGAGGTGACTGACATTTTCAATGTGAATAGTAACCTTATTTTTACGAATTTAATTAAAATGCTTCTTCCGCGTGGTTGTCGACGTGCTCCGACGGGTGCTCAACAGCCCTCACTGGAAAGGTGACACTTACATTTTCTAGATGAAATTTCGCCCTTTCGCTGAGGTTTTGCCATTATAATAGTTGCAGCCTTTGTAATGGTTGCAGCCATTGTGGTTGGTGTTGTAGCCAGATTTTTTGGCTTCACATTCATCGCAAAAAACTATTAAAATTGAAGCCGACGCTGCGTTAGCTGACGTCCAGCAGTATTTATATACATAAATATATTTATATACATAAATATATATTGTATATTTATATACAATAATATAAATATGTGTGTGTATATATAAATATATATACTTTCAAGCAGGTTTCATTGAAGACCAGAGAATTTGTTTTATTCGCAATTTTCTTATTAGTTTTTTCAATATATCGAACAATATTTTTAGTTTGAACTGGCAAATCGAAAATCAGGTTACCGATGGACATTTTTATTTCGTTAACGACGTTTCGAATGTTTCTATCATT